CTGACAAGTGGCAGAGGCAGGTTTTGAAGTTAGATTGGCTGACTGCAGAGCCTAAACTCTTAACCTGGGTTCTAGTTTCTTCCTGCAAGATTGCTGTGGCCACTCTAGGACCCATCAAGATTAGCCTGAGAGTTTGTTCTACAAGTCAAGGGCAACTATGATATTTCTGCACAATCTATATAGGTTAGACTTTGTTTAGAAATCTTCTGGATCGTTTTTGGGTTTTTTTTCCGGGTTCTTTTGGTGCATTGTGTTCTGCTTTTGTTTGCTGCCGGTGAGCAGCCTATTGGTACTTGTGTTTTAGAAAAACATAATAGGGCACGCTGTGATAGGGAGGAAGACCTAGATTGTAAATAGTTCTTTTCTTGGGCTGCCAAAAAGGAAGAAACTTGGGTGGAAGGGGATGTTACTACCATCCTGTCTGAAGCTAAAATTCCAAGCAGAGATTACAGTTTTCATTTTCATTTAGGTTTTGTTATTTTTTAATATATTCCCATTCCCCCAAATTTCTAGATGGGCGTTTTGAGGAAATGCCAGTTGGAAATATTGCAGCTTTACGTAGGCAAGTCCTTATCTTTCTTCCTTGTCTTTTCTAATGGTTTTGAGGTAGTTTTAGTACTGGTATAGGATAACCAGACTTAATCACCTCTAAACCAGAGATATGGAGGTAAAAGGTAGAAAATGACAGAGGGCTTGCTCAGTCCTGTCTTTTTGTTAAAAGCAAGGGTAGTTTAAATCTTACTTTTAAGTTTTAAGGTTACTTTGGGCCTGGATTGAGATGGCTGAAGAGATAACAGATTCCTAATGGAGTGCTAGGAGCTGACAGACCTGTGCTCCCAACTGCTTTAACCTGTGTTGGTATTTCCTCTTTCCAAACACCACTTGGTTTATTCCAGCCATCTTGCTATTTGAATTACGTTCAGCCTTGTTTGATTGCATCTTCGCTTCATCTTGTCATCCCAGTTAGATCCTAAAGTCCTTGTTTGGCCAGATGCCAAGAGCTCCATAAATGGGAATATTGGATCTGACACTGATTTGGCTGTGATTTGGGCAAATAATTTGTTTTTGGATTTTAGTGTTACTTATTTTATAATAGAATGATAATTTTTGTCTTGTGGGACAATTTGAAAATAAGTATAAAAACAGTACTTCCTAGATTTTCCAGATCCATTTCACTTTCCACCACTTTAATCCATTGTCAGGCAGAGGTAATGCAATTTTTGGTTTAGAAAATGAGGTCATCATACAAGTGTGACAAAGAGATATAAATGCTTTTAACTCTTTGTTTGGAAGGTGTTATAGGAATCCAAGCTTAATGGAAGATGAGGATACCAGGATGTACCCCAGGCTCCTGACCTTGTCACCAGCATCCTTAATTGACAATAAACAAATAACCTAGATATGAAAGCACACATATCCTCTCTTTTATCTTAAAATTTGTGTTAAGATTTTAAGCCTAGGGGTCGGCCCAGTGGCGCAGTGGTTAAGTGCACACATTCCATTTTGGTGGCCCCAGGTTCACCAGTTCGGATCCTGGGTGCGGGCATGGCACCGCTTGGCAAGCCATGCTGTGTCAGGCATCCCACATATAAAGTGGAGGAAGATGGGCACGGATGTTAGCTCAGGGCCAGTCTTCCTCAGCAAAAAGAGGAGAGTTGGCGGCAGATGTTAGCTCAGGGCTAATCTACATCAAAAAAAAAACAAAACAAAAAGAAAAGAAAAAGATTTTAAGTCTAATACCTCCATGCTTGTTAAAGTGGCCTGTGTCACACATATGTAACCATTTATTATTAACATTTTGAATTTTTTTGGTCTTTTCCCTATGCATAGGTTCTTTCCCTTTTCTTTTTAAAAATTATTATTGTATATATACTACATGCATTCTTATTGTACGTGTTTTAAACTGTGTGGTAGAACACAGAGCAGAACATGAAAGTCCCTCTTTAGCAGTCTGCAGTGCCCCCAACACACGTTTCCTTTCCCAGAGGTAACCACTGTCAACACCTGATGAGCACTTTTCCCATCGCCATCCACACGTGTGCGTGCGTGTGTGTGCGTGTACTTATAAAACAGGGGCTCATATTTTGTGTTGTATACAATGGCTTTTTTCTTTCTCACTTACCATACACAGCATGTCTTGGGAAATCTCTCTTTCCATGTCAGGACATACAGGTCCAACTCATTTTCTTTTCTTTCCTTTCCTTTGTTGTTACTCTTGTTATTAATGGTTATAGAATAATTCATTTTATGGGTGTACCTGATATTTATCTGCTCACCTATTGATAGATGTTACATTTTTAGTTTTTACTCTTACAGTGAAGCAGTCTTGTACAAGTGTGTGTCTTTGTGCATATGTACAAGTATTTCTGTTGGATAGTTGCCTAGAAGTTGAAATGTTGGCTCAAAGTAAATGCCTATTTTTGGTTTGGGTGCAGGCTGCCAAATTTTTTCCCAAAGGAATTCACCAATTTAAACTCATACCAGTGGTATTTAAGGGTGCTTATTTCCCTGATCGTTACAAACACTTTATAATGTCATTATTTTCATTTTTTTGTCAGTCTGAAAGATGAAAAGTGGTATGTGATTATTTTAATTTGTGTTCTTCTAAGTTGTGGCTCTGTAGATCTAACCTTGTCTGATTTCTGCCTTTTAGGAATTATTCAACATTACCAGTTACTTGAGGACATCTTTTCTTAATTTCTTGGGCTGAATCTACCTGTCTGTCTATCTATCTATCTATCATCTATCTATGGTGTAGGGTAAGAATCATTTCTGTCACTTTGTAGAACTTTAAACAGGAGGTGAAGTAAACTTGTGCACTCAATCTACTATCCTGATAGATTTCCCTCATATATTCTTTCTCTACAATATTTACAATTTTGTTTCTTTTTTCTCCTTAACATTATATTGTAATGTCTATTTTGTCTTATCATGTAAATGGGATATGATATTCTACTATGTGTCTATACCTTAGTTATCATAATCATTTCTCTATTGATGGACTTTAGGGCTATTTCCAAAATTTTATTGTTATAAATAATGCTGCTTCCAACATCTGAGCATAAAGGCTCTGGGACCAGATGGTTTTCCTGGGGATTCTTTATAATTTTAGTGCTTTAAGTCAGTGATTCCTAAATATGGAAATGGGTGGATAGCTGCACAGCTAATCTATGACTGAAACCTAACACTGACACCATCCAATAACAAAAGCACAGCAAGCAAAAACTTTAGACTTGCCTCACTTATGAATGCAGATGTGACAATCCTAAGTAAAATACTCTCAAGTAGAATTCACTGACATGGCCATAATGGATAATGGCCAAATAAGATTTATTCCAGCGATGAAAGAAAGGCTCAATATTAAGAAACCTTTTGATAGCAATATATTGGTTAGTTAAATGTGAAAAACTGTGATTATCTCCAGAGATGCAGAAAATGCATTTAAATTAAACGACTATTTCTTTTTATTTTTTCCTGAGATTGGCACCTGAGCTAACAGCAGTTGCCAGTCTTCTTCCCCACTCCCCGACTTCTTCTCCCCAAAGCTCCCCCCAACCCCAGTACATAGTTGTATATCCTAGCTGGAGGTCCTTCCAGTTCTGCTATGTGGGACGCTGCCTCAGCATGGCCTGATGAGCGAAGCCATGTTCGCACCCAGGATCTGAACCAGTGAAACCCTAGGCCGCTGAAGCAGAGTGTGTGAACTTAACCACTAGGCCATGGGGCCAACCCTAAACAGCTATTTCTAATAACACTTTAAAAAGGAAAAAAATAAGAAACTTCCTTTAGTTGTTTCAGAGTGTCTACCTCAAACCAACTGCCAACAACATTAGAGACATTCTCATTAAAAGCAAGGACAAAACAAGGCTGCCCTCTACTACTTAATGGTATTTTAGAAGCTCTGGCCAATGCAGTAAGGTGTGAAACGAAATCAGAACTAAAGCTTTGAGAATTAAATAAGATGACGTTTCAGCCTTCTTAGTATGGTGTTTCTAATTCAAATAAGGTACCGAAATTGTAGATTCTCTTGTTATTCTTTTTATTACCAATAAGACACATCCACAAAGGAAAGACAAAGTTGTCTCTTGCATCTTTTTTGGAGGGGAGGAGCAGCTCCTGCTTGCTTGCTTGCTTATTTATTTATTTATGTTGAGGTAACATTGGTTATAACATTATATAAATTTCAGGTGTACATCATTATATTTTGACTTCTGTGTAGACTACATTGTGTTCATCACCAAAAGTCTAGTTGCTACCTGTCACTGTACAAATGAACTCCTTTACCCTTTTCACCTTCCTCCCACCCTCCTCCCCCTCTAGAAACCACCAGTCTATTCTCCATATCTATGTGTTTGTTTGTTTGTTGTTGTTGTTTTATCATCTATACATGAGTGAGATTATATGGTATTTGCCTTTCCTTGTCTGACTTATTTTGCTTAGTGTAATAATCTCACGGTCTATCCATGTTGTCGCAAATGGCATTTCTTGCATCTTAACATGTGTATCCTGGTGCATTTACCATTGTGGGTTCTTTGACCTTGGTCCTTGAGGTTGAATCGTCCTGATTATCTATCTGGTCCATGTTGAGGTCTCAAGCCTTGAGTTACTGCCATAGAGGTGGGTGCTCAATACCTGTGACTGGCTGAGTGGTTTAGTTCAGTGATATTTTTGATGACCTTTCAAGGAGCTGTTCTTACAATCTTGGGAGTGATCAGAGGCACGAGTCCCAGACTGAGTGAATAATGACGTTACAGATGAGGAGACGGTACAGAAGAACAAGCTCTTAAATGATGGCACTCTTGTCTTGATAGTGGACTCCTTGTTCAGTAAACTGTTTGTACCCTCAGTACTACGCATTCCTGCAGTAAATAGCTGCTGTCCTTTATCAGGTGTCATTTGGAAGTAACCAATTTGGTTCAATACCATACAGAATTCTTTTCCAAGCAGCTAGCTCTCTCTAAATTTGATTTGTGACTTCAGTCTTTTTTTGTTCCCTATAGCATCTGGAGAGGGCCAAATGTGAACTGTGTTGACAGCACTGGGTATACACCTCTGCACCATGCTGCTTTGAATGGCCATAAGTAAGTATTCACGTGCTACATTCCTGCCCTACCCTTCAGAACCCAGGACTTCATATTGTCTTTCTTGCTTCCTGTAAAGGTGTACTAAGCAGTGGTGCTGAGAAGCAGAGAAAAACAAACTAAATTTAGTCCATCCAGAATCCTTGAGTCTCTCTTTAGTGTATAATTTAAACATCCTTCCTTACTCCACCCTCCAAGAAACCTTTAACCAAAGATTAAGTTTTACTTTTTCCTCTGCTCGTCCTTTTCCCCTCTGAAATGGTGCAGTGCCATACAATTATATGAATATCAAGATCAAATCTGGGGCAGCCAGGTCCTCAAGGGGCTGGATAATCTATTAGGTAACCAGCCCCTTTATAAACTGAGTGCTCATGAGAAACTTTCCTTCTGTTAAAGTAGTTATTTATTTACTCTGTCTTTTTGTTTGCCATTCTTTCCTCATAAAATTAACCTTGCAGATAATAAGAACCATTTTTAAGGGAAAAGAATACATGAATAATATGGCCTATTTAATTCTCTTAAGTATAGAGAGGTTATTCAGAATTGGGTGGGATTAGTGTGGAAAGTTTTCTGGAGAAGGTGTGCTTTGGGGGGAATTAGAAAGAAGAAGGCGTAGGTTTAGATGACTTGGCAGCCCATAGAGGGTGCTGCCCTTCAAGTGAGGGAGAATCTGATGGCTCAGAGAAGGGACAGGCACGGTTATGGGGTATGACGAGTATATTTGCCGGGATGCGGGAGAATGGAAACCAGCGTGTAGCAGAATAGAGGACGTTAAAGAGAGTCTGAGGCATCATACTATAGGACATAAACAGAAGTTTAGTTTTTATGAGGAGGGATTACTGGAACCATTTGAGATTTTTCTGAGCAAGGAGCAGCAGGGCCTTCACCACATTATGCTATTCTGTATCACTTGTCCAATATTTGGCCCAGCCTAGCTGACTCTGATGTGCCAGAAAGAGGCCCCTGTTGTTTCTGTCTACGTTAAGCTTTTCTAAAATATGGTGAATGTGATCGTTATGTCTTTTCTGTAGCCATCTTAGACATAGACAAAACTAATGAGAAATCTGTAGAGATCCCTCCTCCGTTAAATCATGGGGTGACCTGAATTAAAGTGAATCTTGGACTTAAATAACTATAGCTTGTTAGACAAGTTCATCTCCAAATGCTGTTTTTATTTACACTGAGAATTTTCTTTGACCTCTTGTGCATGGGGATAATTATACACTTATATCTGCTTAATTAGTGGTGTCACCAAGAAGAAAACCAAGTCCTTCTTTCTGGATGTATCAAATGATACCATATGTGTCTGGCTTATGTTTGCAACAACTTTAATTCTGCTCTGCCTGTCCGCTTTCAGCTCCCACATCGATAAATGCTCTGAATAATGTGGTGAATAATGATATTTGTCTTGCATGGCTACTTTTATGTAAATTCTATCCCTGAATGCTGTTTAAACATCATAAACAAGGAAACATTGCAAGGTTTAGACAAGAGGACCAGACATTTTGAAAATAATGGAAAATAGATGGATTAGAAGCCTAGATAAATTGGGAGGTGATGAGTCAGTATAGCATGGCTCAGGATTGTTCAGCCGTGTGTCTACAGCTGTACAAGTAGCACATGGGATAAAAGCAAGAGACTGGGCAGTGAGCTCAGGTAGAGATAGGGGAGCCAAATGAGATAATATCTGTGAAAGGGCTTTGTGCTATACAAATGTAAAGAGCTGTTAGTAGGAAAGACTTCTGAGACCTGCAAACTCATGGTTGATTTTTGCCTTCTAGGGATGTGGTCGAGGTTCTTCTGAGGAACGATGCCCTGACCAACGTGGCTGATTCTAAAGGCTGTTATCCTCTGCACTTGGCAGCCTGGAAAGGAGATGCCCAGATAGTGCGGTTGCTCATCCATCAAGGGCCCTCACACACCAAAGTCAATGAACAGGTCGGAAGGAAGGGAAGCTTTCTTCCATTCACCTGCAGCCAGACCTTGGCAGCCCCATCACCATCTCAGCCTCTTAGCTCAAATCTCAGGGAACCAGCTCTTCCATGCCTTAAGAGTGATTCCCTCCTCCCAGCACTACTACTCTTAGTACATCAGGGAAATTTTATACTGTGAGGATGCACTTTATATGCATTTGAATCATGCAGATTTGAAATATTACTGTAATAAAGATATAAAAGCTGACCTCATGCAAAATTTGAAATAATGCAAATCCTGTAAAATTGCTTCGAGTCCATTTCAAACTGGTCAGCTTAATTAATTGTAAATTATATTTATGCCATTGGTATGGCAATACAACTTTAGCTGGTAAACAAAAATAGTCCCAGTGCATCTGAGTACTATGTGAACCATGCCATTGTTTTACATACATCAGAAGTTGCAGAAGTGGAAGTACTCATGGTCGTGCTGAAAAATGAACTCACAAAAACATGTGAGTGGAGGTCCAAGGTGATTCAAAAGAATGATCATTTTCGTGGTGTCTTCTAATGTTAATTGCAGTGACCATGCTTTGACAAAGCAGAAATAATTCTTAGAAAATAAAAAGGTCCGCATTTGAGCAAAAATACCTTGCAATGGCGATGGATTTAAGTACTCTGAGACTCTCCCTCCTCTTCTTTACGTTTATTCCTTTGGAAAAGTTATACTTGAATTATGCAAGTTCTAGACAAGCCTCTCATAAAATCAACTCCCTGTAATTTGGACTGAGATTTTGTGTCCATTTGAGAGGGGATGGGCTTTCACTATGTGATAAGCCATTCACCTGTTTTCCTCTCTGCTCTGAACTGAAGCAGGTACTTAGTTGGTTGAATGAGAGAGATGCTGCTCTTTCTCACTAAGCTTAGGACTATTTTCCTAATGACTTTGCTGAGAGGAGATTGTTAAATTACCTGTAGGATTAGATCAGGCTTATTCCTCAAAAAATAGATCATTCTTGCGAGTCCATCACATTCTCAGTGAGCTGTTGAGAGCATGACTTTGATTCAGAGAAGGGCAGCTTCACTCTGAGGTGTAAGAAAATTAAAGCGGTGCTCCCAGATCCCTCAGTTTCAAGATTGTGTATGTATAGCTGTTAATCAGTTTCCCTTTCCCCTTTCGGGCTATATTTTCTGGATAGGTGAGCAACAGACATTTAAGATCATCAATGAGGATGTTTGTTTTATAACATTAGGAATGATAATTGTCTCTTTGGAATTGCCTCTTTAGAATCTAAGTGCGATTGTACTCCTCCTGGCTAAAGTGATTATAATTTCTCTTATCTGGAGGAAATTTATAAAGAATTTTGCTTTTAACTAATATTCCTCAATGTTGAAAAAACTAGTCACGCATTAAAGCCCTTCTCATTTAAGAAATTTTCAGCTACCACTTCTAATCCTGTCTTTGCTCACTTTTGCCTTGGAACACAGCTGCTTGGATTTTTGAGCCACTTGGCTGTGCTAGCTTGTCGTGCTCACAGCCACCTCCTGCCTGGAGTATCACTGATGGGTGGGACCCCAGCCCCGTGCTTTGGCAGGCAGGTGGGTGGGCCAGAGGCTGGACAAGACATCTGCAATAACTTGAGGAACCTAATGGATCTAGGCAGTAGTTACAAGTATTGCACCGATTTATTTAAAAACCATCAATATGGTTCTAGTTGGCTGCTTGGATAAGAGGGAGAGAGAAGTGCTGTGCCCTGGAGGTTGTCTTCCCCATTAACTTCCTGTTGAGGCACCCCGAGGGCAGGCCACGTTGTTCTAGTGTTGGCCCCCTCGGGGCTATACGTTGCTTTGATATATTTCATCCATTTTATCATCACATTTTCTTTTCCTCTCCTTTTTATAGAATGCTCTTGCGATCAAAGAACTCAAAAAGTACGGCCCCTTTGATCCTTATATCAATGCCAAGGTGTGTACTTTGCTGCCAGGATTTCTCTGCATCATTTCTCCAAGCTGTACTTTCTTTTTGGTCCTCTCTGGCTTCCACTCTTGTCCACTCAGGCTCCTCCTCATTACCCTGACTGTTGTCCGCTTCAGCTCATCTGCTTTTGACTTGTCTGGGAATGGGAACATGCAGCTTCAGTGGGTTTTGGTTTTGTTTTTAAAACCCATACTAATTCTCGAAAGGATGGGTGCTTTTCCTGGAATGTCTGAAAAGCTTAGAAGTGCCAAAATGGGGAAATAGAAGGGACCATAGTATATACATAATTTACTATTGTGATTTCTAAAATCATTTAAATTCAAAAAAGAAGAATGCAATTGAAAGATGTCAAACAAATTAGCTTACTTTTTAATAAGCATAGAAAAATGATTAAATTGTAGTTCCTGGATTTTTAAAAAAATTTTTTATTCTGCTTTATGTATTTCTTTTGAAGTGGAATCTGATTTTCAGTAGCATGTGATGGAGTTGTAGGGGAGGGGGTATGAGTGACTCCATTTTACTCTTTTTTTCTTTAAAGATTTTATTTTCTTTTTTCTCCCCAAAGCCTCCTGGTACACAGTTGTATATTTTTAGTTGTGGGTCCTTCTATTTGTGGCATGTGGGATGCCCCCTCAACATGGCCTGACGAGTGGTGCTATGTCTGCGCCCAGGATCCAAACCTGCGAAACCCTGGGCCACCAAAGTGGAGTGTGCAAACTTAATCACTTGGCCACGGGGCGGCCCCTCCATTTTACTCTTAAAAGCAGCAGTTAAGTGCGCACGTTCTGCTTTGGTGGCCCGGGGTTCGCTGGTTTGGATCCCGGGTGCACACGTGGCACCACTTTGCATGCCATGCTGTGGTAGGCGTCCCACATATAAAGTAGAGGAAGATGGGCATGGATGTTAGCTCACGGTCAGTCTTCCTCAGCGAAAAGAGGATTGGCAGCAGTTAGCTCAGGGCTAATCTTCCTAAAAACAAAAAAAACCTGTTGCTTATGGCTTCCCTCTCATTTCCTTGAGTTTATGCATTTCTGCCTGGGGCTTTAAAGCCTCAGTCCCTTCTCCTCAGCCCTTAGCTTCTCTCTCTGCTTGGTCACTCTGGTCCTTTGGAAGGGCTATGAAATAGGAAATGAAGTTGCAGGGCCAAGCAGGGCGCTTGCCTTGAGCCTCCCTCCCTGTGAGGCTGGGGCGAGTAATGGTCTGAGAGGCCTGGTGATGAATGGCCCAGCCCTGCTGGCCTCGCTGCCGCGGGCCTTCACCACATCAGAAGGCGGAGCTTGTGGGTTGGGTGATGGTGTTAGCCTCTTTCCTCAGTGCTCTCAGCTGCTGGTTTTGATCCGAGTTTCATTTGGATGAGGTTTGCTTTTTGGCAACAATCTGGAGTTTGGTTGAGTCACTCCATTATTCACATTAGCTACCTTTGACTTGCCCTCAATACAGCAGCCTCAGGGAAGGGAAACATAAGGTGCTGCTGCGTGTTTAAAAGGGCAAGGCAGATATTTCACGTTTTTCTTTGAGAAACACTGGTTTAGCAAATGGCGCTCCCTATGGGCTGGACCTAGGCAGACTCTACGGCAGATTTTGTTCAGCTGTTGGGCCTTATTGGTGGAGAAGCAGTTTGATCTGGGAGTAGTGTAACACGTTAGCTTTTATTTTGGCCCACTCTTTAAATTCTGTTTTCTAATCTTCAAAATAGGAAGATACTCTATCTTAGTTTTCTTCTTTTTTCTGGAAGTGGTGCGGTAAAGTGGAAAACTCTCCCAGGTCACAATCTTTCAAGTCAGACGTGAGTTTCAATTCTGTGCTGCCACTTACTGGTTTTGTTGATTTAAACAACTTACTTAATTTCTCTGAGCCTCAGTTTCTTCTTCTGTAAAATGGAGTATGCCATCTACCTTGCTGGTTTGTTTTGGAGTTTAAATTAGATAATATACGTAAAGTAAAAATATCTGGTAACTAGTAATATTTGAGATCCTAATTTTCAAAGATATATATAATGTGGTATTTCTGAAACAGCATTTTGGAATTTTTTCTTTGTTACTAGTGGGCGAAGTTTAATGAAATGTCGCTCAATTAGTTTATTCAGGGTTTTGTTTTGGGATGAGGTACCTCGAAGTGATTGTTTTCCCACTCAGTGGTTAGTTTAGTTAGCTTATAAAACTCTGATTAAAGGGTCAGATTTTGGTTCTTGAAAGCACACTTTTCAATTCCTTATTTTGCACACATAGAAGAAAATTAGTCTAAGTGGAATAAGAACATAATTCTCTTTTTGCCTCCCCACTTCAGGCATTCAGGGATAAAGCTGTTGGGGTTGTGCTAGCAATACAGACTCTCTCTGAGCTGATTTGAATCTCACCTCCCTAGATTTCCTGACTCCGTGGGTTTTTATTGACCTGGCTTGTGTCTAGGAATTGTTTTGCCAAGGGCCGTTTGTGTGCTAAGTTCTGTGAGGCACTTGTAGAAATGAAGAAGTCTCGGATGCCTTTCCTGGGAGCAGAAATAATTTTCTTGAGCTTTCATCTTCCTCTCGACATATGGAGTCTTTCCTTTTCCAGCAAATCAGCACAAACCAGTCCGAATAGAAGTCATCCTTAGCTAAGGTGGAACTATTAAAACTATTTATTTACTCCCTTTTAAAACAATTTTAACTAAATCTGAACGTCATAAGATGAGCAACAGACAAATTAGTTTTATGGTAGATCTGTTTTTCTATACACTTAAAAATAATTCACAGTTTTAGAGCTGGAAGAGACCTGGAAGTTATCCAGACCAGTTGTTGCCACATGCTGATCAGCTTGTCTGGTTGCATGAGAATCACCTAGACAGCTTTTATAAAACTTTCTATTTTGAAAAAATTTCCAACTTATAAAAAGTTGCAAGAGTAATGCAATGAACTGCGTTATACTCTTCTCCTAGATTCACCAATTGTTAACATTTTGTCACATTTGCACTCTCTCTCTCTTTCTCTCTGTAATTATTGTTGTAGGTGATGATGAACTAGTTGAGATTAAGTCATGGACATCATGACCCTTTAACCCCAAATGCTTCAGCATGTATCTCCTAAGAACAAGGACATCTCCTTTTATAACCACAATACGGTCATCAATTTCAGAAAATTCAACGTTGTACAATACTGTTATCTAATATAGAATCCATGTTCCAATTTCACCAATTGTCACAATAATGTTCTTTAGAGAAGGTTTTTTTCTGGTCCTGGATCCTGTGCAGGATCATGCATAATCTGGAATAATCCCTCAGCTTTTCTTAGCCTTTCATGATATTGATGTTTTTGAAAAATACAGATCAGTTCTTTTGTAGACTCTCTCTCAGTTTGAGTTAGTCTGATATTCCTAATGATTAGGTTCAGATTATACATTTTTGGCAGGAATGCCACAGGAGTGGTGTTATGTCCTTCCTTTTTAGTACATCACATCACAACACACATGATGTTAGTTTATCTCGTTCTTGTTGATGATGAATGATTGCTTGGTTAAGTTGGTGCTTGTTTAGGTTGCTAAGCTTTTTTTTTTTTTAACTTTTTTTTTTTAAGATTTTATTTTTTTCCTTTTTCTCCCCAAAGTCCCCCAGTACATAGTTGTATATTCTTCGTTGTGGGTCCTTCTAGTTGTGGCATGTGGGACGCTGCCTCAGTGTGGTTTGATGAGCAGTGCCATGTCTGCACCCAGACTTCGAACCAATGAAACACTGGGCCGCCTTGCAGCGGAGTGCGCAAACTTAACCACTCGGCCAAGGGGCCAGCACCAGGTTGCTAAGCTTTTTAATAATAGTTTTCCTGGGCTTTACCCTCTTGAGGCACTACCTTGGCACCTCAGTCTGGGGTGGGACTTACTATTAGTTACTTTTAAGCTCCCATGTAATTCCAAAACGGAGCCAGTTTGAGAACTACCGATCTAGGCCAACTTTCCACCCAGAGCAGGAATCCTCTTCTCTCACCTGAAAGGTGGGCCCATGTACCCCTTATTTTATTTGCTTGTTTGTTTCTCCCAGTAACAAACAGAATTACTGGTTGGCAGCCTCTTTTTCGATTCCACTGATTTTAGTTTCTTATCCTTGGTTGACATCTGTCTTCCTAAACTTTCCATCTATTGGTCAGACTTCTGCCTTCCAGAGCATTACACAGTGAGTCTCATTCTTCTTCCACATGATGGACTTGGTTCTCATGTGTCTCTTGTCTTCTAAATCTCAGTAGACCCAGTTTATCCTTTTTTGTTGTTCCAATTTTGGTATGTTTCTAGAGTGTAGACCATTGTTGCTACAGAGAGCTGGAACCCAGATGTCCCTAACTTAGGTATCTGTCAACAATGGGCAAGAGTGCAGATGGGCTATAATCTAAGCAAGCACTTGGAAGTGATTGTTTTGAATAGTTTCAGAAGGAGAAAGGTCATGGAAATGTTTCCATATGACTGTTTTGCTGCTTGTAGTTTATGCATATATATAAAATGCATAAATATAATGGGTTTACACATCGAATGGGGTCACCAGATATAAAGGATATAGGGATATTTTTTTCCTTAAACATACTGACCATAGCAAGGAAAAATGAAAGTGGGTCTCAAGATGGGCAGGAATGGAAAGTTTGTGCTAAGACTTTGGAGAAAACTGGAGTGTTTCATTTCAGTCCCTTTCCTCAGTCCAGATTCGTGCTAATATGATTCTGGGAACTCTTGAGGTGTTGTTAGCACCTATGGTATCTTTTGGAAGGTGTGAAAGAGGATTCCAGTGGTAAGGAATCTGTGTTCTCCTTGGAATCCCTTCCTTTCTTGTGCGTCCATGAATCATCATTATCAACTTCCTGCCCTGATAGTTGTCAGGCTCAGAGAGGAGATGGTAGTAAGAGCTCACTGTAATGGCCTCTGTGCAGTAGTCAAGAGATGTAGTCACCACAGATGTAAACTCAAGAGTATTATAGTTAGCAGACCATGTCTGGCAAGACTGAAACGTAAGTATGATGCTTCCTACACTGGGAATATGAATGTAACATTCTGCAGAGATGTGGGTAGGCCATTTTTAACCTAGGCAAGAAATTTGCCTGGTAGCGATCAAGACCTTGCCTTTAGGAAGGCAGCTTTGTGGTAGCTGCCTTAGTTCTGGCAAAAAAAACAAATAGAGAAGACATTTTTTTTCCTGTTGGATAATTTAGAGGTTTACAGTTCTTCAGGCCCTAATGGCATACTTTTTATGAAATCAAGGACAGATTATTCTGGTTGTTGGGAGACAACTTGGATGTAAAAGAGACAACGCTATCTGCGTTAGGGTAAACAAGTTTTTCCAGATTGGAATTTTAATAAGAATAAGCTGAGTTTCTTGGCCCTTGCTGTCATGCTAATCTTGAGATGTAAAACCCTGAGAATCCTCCTAAACTTCTGGGGGTTGCCACTCTGCCTCAGGATCACTCTACAGGAAGCTCCTGTGAGATTTTCTTGATGTAGCCGTCTTTTCATAGTGAGAAAGTGAAGTGACAGCTCTGCGTTCACTCGGGGAACTCATGCCATAGCTTAACAGGAAATGGGCATTCCAAATGGGTGGCGTAAATAGGTTTTTTTTGCCACAGGAACCCCAAGGATTTACTTTCTGTCCAGAGTTTCCCCCTTCCCTTCAGACTTTTAGGTTGACATGGAATTCGTCCCTGGGAGCCAGATGTATCGCTGGAGGCCTTGCTCACTGGCTGTGTTCTGTGGCTAGCGAAGGCTGGCTGCACTGTCTCAGTAGCTGCTCTCCTGAGCTGTGTTTGAGCTCAGTCCTGCTTCCTCTGTTTATGTGTGTACATTTATCTTTGCATGTGGCTTCGCCTACTACCCTTTCTGTCCTTATTTCCTTTTTAAAATTTTCTTTGCTATCATTCTGGCCTTTTGGGTCCTCCCAAAAGCTCTGGATCTTTCTGGTACACTTGGTGTAGCTGGAAAAAATGATGCAGTCAAATGCCAGATCAAAAGCAGATGGAATTGCATGCATGTTTGGGTAACTCCTGGTCTGTTATTTTTAACGTCATTCATAGAATTAAAGTAATTGTGGAAATGTTTAATTTTTACCTTTTCATCTCTGAAAGGTGCACAATATTGACTTAGTGGACATACCCCCTTGTAAACTTTGTTTCCCCAAAGTGGCAGAAGCCTCCTGAATAAATTCAGGAGTCTCAAAATCTTGTGGGAGAATTATTTTCATTAGTGCTTCTAAAAAAGGAGAGGTCATGGAAATTAATTTATTCCTGCTCTAATTATACATTGTCAGTAGTAGTGAAAGAAAGAGCATAATTGGAATGATTATACATTTTGCTTCTGATACTTGATCAAGCACAAACTTCTCCTATTTTATCCCAGGTTCTACCTTTAGTTTGAAACAAAATTGGCATTAAAGGACCATGAGGTTGTGAATTTGAACTGATGGCGTGTTAACAATTTTGAATATTTTGCACCTCTCACACGAAACATTCCAGGGTCTGATGGAATCTTTCTTCCATAAGAAATGCTTCCCTGTGCTGTAGATTCTGCATGCTTTGATTGGTGCAGGCTCCTGGAGTAGGCACAGGGCAGCATCAGGATCCCGTGTAGCTCAGGTGCCTCCCTCCCTTGGAAATGGCTGTTGGCTGATATCTGGAGAGTGATTTTGGTGCTCTGCTTATTACTTTCATTGTTGGCTGATTGATTTGCATGCAAGAAGCTATGCAGATGACAAACTCTTTCCAAAAAGCTTGTATGTAAGGCAACAGATGGTCGACAAATCCAGAATCAGAACCACAGGGTTGACTAAACATAAATTGTAAAACCAGTTGAAGTTTAAAATGAATCAATGGCAGTGATATTCTTGGCATTTATCTGTGCCAGGGTTTCTACCCAAGAGCTGCCACGTTCCCTGGTTCACTCTCCTTGCAATCTGGAGACACTTCCTTCACGGCACACAGGAGGCTGCAAAGATTGAGATGACTGCTCCCCTCTTGCAGTAATGGGGGCAAGATGTGGCTGATGGAGTGGTCGGGGTTGGTTGTGGGGGAGTATGTCTGGATTCTGACTGACTTCTATTAGTCCCCAAGTATTGCTGCTGTTTTTCTCATTTAAATTTCAATGGTTTTACATGTGATTATCCCAGTCATATGCCAGTCACCAGTCTGATGTGATCTGCTTGTAACTCCTTAGAACAACGACAATGAGACAGCCCTGCATTGCGCCGCGCAGTACGGCCACACGGAGGTGGTGAAGGTCCTCTTAGAGGAGCTAACAGACCCTACCATGCGCAACAACAAATTTGAGACACCTCTGGACCTGGCTGCACTGTATGGGAGACTGGAGGTGGTGAAGATGCTCCTCAACGCACACCCCAACCTCTTGAGCTGCAACACTAAGAAGCATACCCCTCTGCACTTGGCAGCAAGGAACGGCCACAAAGCTGTGGTCCAGGTCCTCCTGGATGCTGGCATGGATAGCAACTACCAGGTAGTGGGGCAGCTGTACCTCCCAAGCTCAGGGGACCTAGTCATTTGGAAGAGGCACAAGTACCATGCTACTGGGCTGTGTTCTTATTTAGCACGTTTCACGTCATGTGTCAGATGCTTCCATTTGTTGACTTATTTTAATGTGAAACTTTAGAGACAAAATCCTCAATGAATCTGTTATTTTTTATTTCTTTTCAGGGGTAATATATAATCGTTATACCCTGAAAAGAAGTGCTTATGGGCTATCTCAAAGTTAGAAAAGTTTCATTATCTTCCTATGCATGTGTTCCCACTGCCACTATTTCGCCCCTCCAAAGTGCCATTGACCTGATCTTGCTGACAGGAGACTTAGCATTTCCGTCTGTTGTTAGTTTTCTCCATTCAGATGAGTGACCATTCCTTAGGCTTTGCGTTGACCAAACCACATTTGAAGTTATGATGTTTTTTTCCCTTGTACTTTTCTTCTCATTATTCCTTCCTCCCAGGGAGGTGGAGTTTTGAGGTGCTTCACCAGTAGGTGGCTCCAGGAGTAACTGTGCAGTTATTCATGTGTGGCCTGCTGGGGGCACATCAAACATCCTTGATGTACAGGCCACGATCGTGGTTTTGGAATCCAGACAAGAAAAGTGGGAAAGATAATGATAGAGGACTTTGTGTGGTTTATTTTATTTTCCTGTCCCTTCTTGTCTATGTCCCGTTTGTCGTGTGAAGCCACGCCAAACCTGGGTCACTGTTCTGACGACGTCCTGCTCTGCGCTCTCGTTTGCTTTCCAGACGGAGAAGGGCAGTGCTTTGCATGAGGCTGCTTTGTTTGGCAAGACCGATGTGGTGCAAATCCTGCTGGCTGCAGGTGAGAGGTCGGCAGCGCTCTTGTTTCACCGCATGCCAGGGTTGGGCTTGTTCCTTGGGGGATTTTTGCTGGCTGCATTTGAGCCCAATGTATGTACATCTCCACTGTTTGATTGCAAGTGTACAAACTATTCTTGAATAGCTGGATTAAATGGCTTCGGATGAAAAATGTTGGTTGTGCTGCTGGGAGCGTTAGGTGTCCTGGAATTTGGTGCTCTTTGGGGCTGGCTTGAAAATGCTCACTCCCCTGGGTTACCTGGTGTGCTTTCTAGGAATTGATGTCAACATAAAAGATAACCGTGGACTGACTGCCCTAGACACTGTCCAGGAACTGCCTTCTCAAAAGAGCCAGCAGATAGCAGCACTTATTGAAGGTATCAGTCCATCTCCCTGTTGGGACCACCAGGGGACACACTGGCCGAGCCAAGGCATTTGTGTTTGCTGCAGCTTTATTTGTCTTTCCATGTAGATCACATGACTGGAAAAAGAAGTGCAAAAGAGGTAGATAAAACCCCCACACCCCAGCCACCTCTCATCTCCAATATGGACTCCATATCACAGAAGTCTCAGGGTAAGGCAGCTCTTCTCTGCTGGCCAAGGGGCTCCCAGCTTGAAGAGTTGAATGTTCTTTGGCAAAATGGAAAATCTTAATTTAAATAATAATTTCAGAGGATTGGGAGTACTTAAGTTCATATTCAACTTCACTTATTTCCAACTATATGAAGTTTTATTGGTCCTAGCTTAGTCCTTCAACTGTGGACCTCTTCTTTTCTGCTTTATTTATTTAATTTTTAATTTTTTGCATGTGAGGAAGATTGGCCCTGAGCTAACATCTGTTGCCGATCTTCCTCTTTTTGCTTGAGGAAGATTGTCACTGAGCTAACTTCTGTGCCAATCTTCCTCTATTTTATGTGGGATGCTGCCACAGCATGGTTTGATGAGTGGTGCTGTGTCCACGCCTGGGATCTGAATCTGTGAACTGTGGGCCGCCAAAACGGAGTGCACGAACTTAACCACTATGCCACTTGCCAGCCCCTCCTCCTTTATTTTATTCTCTACTTTTACAGTCAGCTCTCTGAGATCTATTCTGGGTTATTTAGTAGGCAAGATGACCTCAAAATGAATTCAAATCTCAGGGAAGCCTTGTTTTCTAACACACACTGTAGTACCTTGAGCATAGTTGGCCCACAGTAAATATTTAATGAGTGTCATCTGTTTGGTAGATGTGTATGTGGCAGATTTTGGTAATATATCATTTGGCCAACAAATGTGGTCCGGGTGCTAGCTTAGGCAGTCCTGCCTCTCCATCATTAGCCAGAATCCACCTTTTCAGATTTTTTGAGCAGCGTTTTGGGTCCTAGGTGTGGTGAATGAGAAAGACAAAATTCTGACTGACACCTTCCCCAGCTACAAATCACAATACAGAAGGCTAGAGAAGGAGAACAAAGCCAGACACTAAAAAGGGAAAGGGGCTTTTCAGAGGCGTGTAGAGGTCCTTAAGTTAAAGGACACTCAGCCTGTCTTTACTTGAGTCCTTGTCTCCCTCCCCGTCACACTTTTTTTCTTGACCCCATCATCTACTAGGAATGGGATTAGTAGTTCACTGAGCTCTTAGCTTTCAAGGGTTTAAAGCTTACAGTTACAGTTTTGACTATATGCTAGTGACCCAGAGATCCCTGGTCTGTAACAGATGCTAATTTTGCCTTCACGAATTTGGATGCCAGGTACCCTGAGGTTCGTAGTTATCCAGTGAGTGAGTCTAACGGCTGCAGTGTGTCTGTCTTGGAAAGGCTTGACCATCCTCTATTTGGCTTGAACACATGGAGGTTCTTATTAAGAATTTAAAGGATTACTTAAGTTTTTCAGTTGTACTTTGTGACATTTTATGTTTACATTTATGCTATCATGGTATTGAGGTGTTAGGGAATTTATAAAGGTCTTGGGGAGCATCCCTCATAGATGTCAATCATTTTCTGTATTGAATTAGAGAAAAATACATTCAATTCTCAGGGTAGAAAGAGCAGCCAAAGCTCTCTCTATTTATTCCTGTCCACAGAGCAAAGCAGTCTGTTATTTTCCTTGTCTGGGTTAGTGTTTGTCAGGTTCAGGTTACTGAAGGGCCTTTGGGTTGTTGCAGTGAGTGGAAGTCCCAGATTGTTCTCCTTTCATTGCTCTCTTGCTTCTCACCTCCTCTTCAGGGGACGTGGAGAAAGCAGTGACTGAACTGATCATCGATTTTGACACGAACGCTGAAGAGGAGGGTCCCTACGAGGCGCTGTACAATGCTGTCTCCTGCCATTCGCTGGACAGCATGGCCAGTGGGCGATCGTCTGACCGGGAGTCCGTGAACAAGGAGGCCGAGGCTGCAGGAGTGAAAGCTGCTGGAGTGAGGCCTGTATGTGGCCTGGGGCCCTCAGCCACCTGGCAGCCATGTTGCCAGCCTGTGCTCAGTGGGGTGCTGGGGAGAGGAAGCGTGGCCCCTGGATCCTACTCCCCCTCTTCTCCTGGGCTCTGCTGCTTCTCCCTCTTGCTCAGTGTGGTTAAACTACACAGATCATGTGAAGGTAGAATTTTGGTTTTTCCGATTTCAATATAACCTGTTTGCGTCTTTCTATTACTTTTTGGCCATAGAGCAAATTAAAGCATCTTATTTCTATTTAGCCTTAGTGCTGCTTCTGTCTTTGGGGTCTTTGCTATATGTTGTTTGTTTTCTCTCTGGAGAGCTTTTCCGACAGTGAAGGAGCACACTGAAATAAATTCCTGCCTGCCCTGAGCGCGTGCTCACCTTCCATTTGCCCTCAAAGAGTTCTCTGTTTGGCTTTGGACAGAGTCTGTATTCGACAGGGCTGTAGCGAGGCTTAATCATACATCGTATGCATTAGCATGTGGCATCCCTGTTTTTCCCAGTTACAACCTCTCCAGCCATTGAAATAATAGGATCAGCAGAACCCTGAATCTTTCCTTCTCAAGGTCCACCTTCCCGTCTTACTGATTCTTTCTCTAGTACTTACTTCTACTTCCAGCCTATTCATTGTTCTCTAGGCTCTCATCTCTGTTTTCTCCCCTGGGCTTTTACTGTGAGCCTAAGCCTGAATCAGTGCTCCCATTGACCTTCCTTCCTACATTACCAGGCACAGTAATTTGAGGTTTTGAGCACTATGCTTGAACTAAAATGGCCATTGCTCTAACAGGGTCCCAGGGATAATCCTACCTTGAGGCATATTTTCAGGTGTGTATTATTTCTTCCTATTGGAGAGGCTGACCTTTCTCTCGGGTCGGAGGCTGGCTTATGACCATTTTGATGATCCTTTGGCTGCTAGGTGATCTTTGGGCTTTTCAGGTATGCCCTGGGAACAGCCTGATGTTTCTTGGTGTTCTTTTTCGGTAGGCTCCTTGCCCTGCCCTGGAATCGTCCCCGCATTTCAATATGGAGTTTGGAAAGGCTTGCCAGTCTTGTACAGCCCACCAAAGTGGGTGTTAGCAAGGACTGTGGTAAAATTCCTTGGGAGTGGTGAAAGCAAGTACATACGCTGAGTACCGCTAGCATAGTGCTGTGTAGACAGAGCTAGTTAATTTTCACTTCTTTCACTGTGTTAGGTACAAATGAATTAAGCAAATCCACCTGTGAAGGAAGGCGCTCCTTTAAGTGGTACTTACAGGTGATGCCCATTAGAGGGAGCTGGAGGCTTTGCGAGAAGCAGCAGGGTTCCTGAAGTAAGCTTTGAATAACCAAGTTCCTGTAGGGCTTAGCCACTGATTTACAGTGTCTTTGTTCCATCTCACTCCAGGAATCTAGCCTCCCTGTGGTTCTGCTGAGCAGAGACTGATGAGTCTTGGGGTGCATGCTTTGCCTTGGGTGTGTTGTGGCAGTGCTATCTTCTTGGCCCTTGGTAATTAACTGTGACCAAGGGACTCCTACGTCTTGTAAACGCAATGGATGGTACGTATAAACCAGCTCTACTTCCAGGCCCCTGGCCAAATTTCACATTAGAAAAAGAGGCTGGTGCTTTGCTTCTCTTTCTTTCCAGTGTTCCCGTTAATCACTTCTTCCACAGAAGGCTTTCACATTGTTCTTTCTAGGCTCCTTCAGCCTTGGGAGGTCTTCTAGGGTGGGTCCTTGTTGTTGTTGTGTTTCATTTTGTTTTGTTTTTCCTCAGCTGTTTGTTCCTAAAGTGGGATAACTGGTGCAGATTAGGGACCTGCTCCTTTTGCTATTCTCTTCCTTACAAGGTGTACTGGGACCAAGCTTGTTCCCGTACTTCCAGAGCAAAGAAGGGTGGGGACAGTGGGACTTAGTGGGAAATATGATCTAAATAGCTTTGTTTGGCTTGGACATATGAACGTGTTTTGAAGTTGTTGCCATTGGGCATCCATCTGGTTCCGGGGATTGTGGGAATGACCGATTTATCAAGATATAATACTGAACAGTGAAGCATGTTTTAACAGAGAGATCAGGGATGTTAAATGCTAATTAACCCTGGGAGCTCCTAACACATAAGAAACATCTTTCCTTGCAGATTTCCCTGAGTCTCTCACATAATTCAGCATTCACCTCTGCCCTGACTTTTTTGGTAAATACTGCTGTTCTAGCAACACAGTAAACTAACCTACAAATCTGGAAATAAGCCTACAAGCCAACTCCTGTTTCAGGTTCCCACTCTCTTCCCTGTAAGAACATTGATTATCAAGCATGAATAGGACTTTAGAATAGAAACAATGCTGAAAGTACTACAGGTGCAATGGCAAACCTCTCTTTAGCTTTCTTTCATCAAAGATCATTCTGTGCGATCCTGAAATGATCTATGTGATCTAACAGATTCCCTCTTCGGTGAGTTTCTTGCTCTAGGGCAGGGGGCCCACAAACAACTGCCTGTTTTTGTGAATAAAGTTTTATTAGAATACAACCACGCTCACTCATTTACATATTTTCTATGGCTACTTTTATACCACGGTAGCAGAGTTAACTGCAAAGCCTAAAATATTTACTGTATGGCCTTTTAAAAGCTTGCCAACTCCTGTTCTAGGGCAGATAACTGACAAGTATTCCTTTTTAAAATGGACTGAGATGAAGTAGGGTTTTCCTATGCTAATGATACATAATAGTAATATTGAAGGATAGGAGATCAGTTCTGAGCTTTTGCTAATAAATGAGGATAGCATTAACGTTGAGCAGGAATTGATGTTTTTGTCCTTGGTTACTTTCCTCATTACTTCCTTAATAACTCTGGTTTGTTAGAACTCTTTGACAAGCTGATTCTTTTGATTTACTGTTTCCTCTTTATAGATTAGACTGAGGGTTGAGCCACTGGTTTTCCTATATGTGCTAGAGTCTTATGTATCACTCTTGTGAAGGACATTTTCCGACAAGGCAGTTGTGTGTTTTCAGTGCTGGTATTTCTTGCTGTGGTCAAGGATATGGAAGAGGTGCTTGTAATCTCTGCTGCAAACATCAAAAAGCAAAGAGCATGCTAATTGAATTGTGTGTGCGTGCAGGGTTCTCCATCTGTTCAGATACTAAACCTTGAGTTTAGTCTCTCAGGGGAGTTCTTTACATTATTCCTTTTCATTTCCAAGAGCTAACATAAGAGTAAACCGAAGAGGTAGACACTTGAAAAAAGAGATAGTGAAACATATTTTTCTTCTACAGAGGGAACGTCCACCACCTCCAGCCAAGCCCCCGCCTGACGAAGAGGAGGAAGACCGCATAGATAAGAAGTGTTTTCCCTTGACAGCTTCTGAGGTAGAGGGTTGAGGGTTTATTCCCATCACTGAAATAGGATGTTTTGGAAAGTGCATCAATGTGTGCTTAAAGAAAACTTTGCTTTCTCAGTTTCTTATCACCTCTTTGGATTAGTAAATTTGTATTGTGTCTATTAGTAATCTGCACAAGACCTTTCAAACTCACTTAAAAGTACTAAGCAAAGAATTTTAATAGACCTCTAGCAGACAGGCCAATTATTGATCTACCTTGCCACATGGAAAGGAAAACGTGCACATTTTCTCCTGGCTCCAGTTGGCTAAACACTCACTTTTTGCTTTCGTACCTGTGCTGTCTTTTGATACAAATGTGCAGTATCCCCCTAATCACCCTTCTCCAGGCTGCGTCTTAGCAAGCTTTGCTGATCCTGCCCCAAACGTCTTATTTCTCTTTCTGCATCTTCTCTCTTCATTGCACGTGAAGAATCTGCACCAGGACAAATGTGGAAAATGTCATGAAGGCTCAGAAGAGAAACAGGAGTCATGAGGATGGGGAGATCAAAGAAAGTTATTTGAAAAGAATAGTCCATTTTTTAAGAAAAGAAATGTTATCATGGGGCAAATAGTTCAATCTTCTCACTTAGGTATATGAAGAAAATCATGTTTTCCTTGATCTTTCATCTTCAAAATGTTTCTTTGACACTTCCTACCATTCAGAGAATATGTTTATTGAGTATTTACTCAAAGTATTGCATAATTTCAATAGTTATTTTGTAGTTCATTCAATGTCCGATTGTTCTTTAGAAATCAGGTAATATAAACTAGTCAGTTAAGTCTCATTACTTTATCCCTAGAAATCAGAGTTAAGTTTTTTACAGTATTGACACAATATTGCCATGAACCATCCAGTTATACAGTTTCTTTTATTTAATATAAACTCATGGAAGCAGAATGATGGCTTTAGTTTAACAAAATGTACAAGGAAGGGGCTGGCCCCGTGGCCAAGTGGTTAAGTTCGTGCACTCCACTGCAGGTGGCTCAGGGTTTCGTCGGTTCGAATCCTGGGCGTGGCCATGGTACCGCTCATCAAGCCACGCTGAGGCGGCATCCCACATGCCACAACTAGAAGGACCACAACTAAAATACACAACTATGTACGGGGGGGCTTTGGGGAGAAAAAGGGAAAAAATAAAAAATCTTAAAAAAAAGGTACAAGGAAGCTCTTTTAAGAATGTGTAAGTCAGTTTTGGAGATAGGGGACAATTTCTGTGCTGGGTACAAATTCTGTCCTTATTCAATTCTATTCCTTGATTACGAAATGCTTATTGTCATGTGTCAGCTAACGGGTCTCTAGAATGACGGCCTCTAGGGTAATAGTGTATTGCTGGCAGACACAACTGTGTGTAGTGAGTCCCTACACGTTTTTATACAGAGGCTTGCTTCATTACTCCCTTTTTACAAGGAGAAACCTAGTAATATGGAGCATATTCGCTTGCGTCTGGGTCTCTGTAAATGCCTTATGCTACCTGTTTATCAAGGACTAGGGTTAAAATTCCTCATGCTCTAGGATAAGAGCAAGGCTCTTAAAAAAATATTGGCTATCAAGGACTTCCTAGTCTCCCAAGGCTTTCTAGAGCATACAATTTGGCAGTAGCACAGTGTCAAGACTTAGGAGGAGAAATCTCCATATTACTCTTCTGGGTGGGAGGCTCTGTCTGAGGTACATCTTTTAGGACTTGCTTCTGGAATTCTGGGTCAGTTGGGGACCATCATAGTCAGTATTTGGAAGACCATGAGAATTCTGGCTTTGCTTACTTAGTGATGATTAGAAGTACATGAATATAGAGGTGATATATCTGGGTCTTATCATTTTAATGGTCAAGGCAGATTCTATTTGCTGTAGTCTAAATGGATAGGTCTTCTCCAAAAGTTGACTTTTTTGGGTTGGGGGGACTCTAGTCTTCACCAGCTTTATGTCTTATACTCTCAAAGCTTTAATATCCTAAACCTCATATCCTAGGAGGCACTGGCCTCATCAAAGTTTACACTGTTGTATTTGGCAAGCTATCTGCCCCAGTGTTCATGTCCTATTCCTGAGGATTGTCATTGTCAGATGACCCACAGAAGCTTTTAAGGAAAGCTGAGTATACCTGGCTCCAGGAGAGCTTATCAGAGTAATGACTAGATCATGAAAGTGGCTTAAAAAAATTAAGCACATACACACTCATGTGCATGCACATACACTATTTGGATGTTTTTGCCCCGCCAGATGGGCTACCACTACATCACACTGACCGTGGTCTTCTCTATGCTCAAATGTGCTGAACATTCATGGGAAGTTGCAGCTGCTGTGGTATCTCTTCCCAGAAAGCTGCCCACATCCCGACTGGCCATTCTATGGGTCACAGTTAGGTGGTGACTGGTAGTAGCTTTTCTCTGCAGCAAAAGTGTTCCTTTCCATATAGCAGAGAATATGTTTTTTTGGCTTTGATTTATTGCCAGCCCTGGAAGAAAGGGGAAAAAAGATTAAAGAGTAATTTAGTAAAGAGCAGAATCCTTTCTGTTGAAAATCAGTTATTGCCATATTCACTGTGACACAGGGTTTCTTAAGTGAGAACTAGGAAGGCTCAAAGTAAGTTTATTGCTTTATTATGAGATTTTAATCCCATAGCTGGCAGGGGCCAAGACTAAGAGGAAAAGATCACCCTCTGAGTTGAATGGGTATCAGCAGGGGACTCTCGTTAGACATCTGAAGGGGGAAAAGAGTTCCAGATTGGATGGAGAAATTATACCCCAGAAAAAATGAGGCCAGCTTGGTCCAGAATCAGGGGAAATGAATTTTATGGTTCTGGCTCTGCTGGGAGCTCTCTGTGTAACCTTGGGCAAGTCCCTAGACCTCTCTGGGAACCTAGTTTTGTCATCTGCAAAATGAAAGAGCTGGAACCAGGTGCTCTCTAGCTGTGACTGTAATGGTTCCAATCCCTTTCAGCTCTGACATTTGCTGGTTCTCTGCTTCCGGTTGTCATGCACAAGAGCCAGGCACAGAGTGAACACAGGTCCAGTGGGCCTGATTTTCCAGATGGAAGTCATCAGCCCTGTCCTGCTTGAGAAGAAAGGGTATTATGGCCTGGCATCCAGGCTGTCAAATACCTCTCAGAGAAGCGTGCCTGGGGCTATATGAGAGCTCTTGCTGTGTGCAGAACACTCACAGAGTCAGATTTCCAGGGCTCTGCCTAAGTGATAGCTGTGAGTGTGTAAGCCTGCAGAACACCAATTCCTGTCTGTAAAGCCCAGGGTCTTAGGTTGGCACTGTACGAACTGCTTAATAGTCCCTCTTTGTTCTCTTAATTGTGTTCCTGTGAAGAGGCTAAGGAATAAGTAATACAGGCAAGTGGCTCATTGTAGTGAAATAGCTTTCAGCTTCCAGGTGGCTTTCAGTAAGTGGAGGTTCCTGCTGTGTTTAGCAGAATTTTGAAAAGAGACTATCATTCTGCCTTTGGAGTGGCAGCCTTGTTAACAAACAGGAGCTGCAGCCTCTCATTTAGTCTGAATCCTTGCTGTCTCATTAGTCCATAACACTGTGAGCTATGCCTCCAAGAAGCAAAACCCTGATGAATCACAAACCTGATTGGTTTCCAGTGAGCTGTGGGACATGTCAGTGAAGAAGGAGATTTCTGTATGTGCCAAAGAATCACACCTGTGTAGGGTACCATTATTTGTTAGGTGGACTTGCGGATTCCCTGTCACCCTCTCATTCATAATATATTACTTATCCTAGCCAAACTGCTCAAGAGAGATTTTGTGGTTTGGTTTATTCTCCTAATAGCTGGTATATGATTATTCTTAATTTGCCTGTGAAACACTTTACACTCTTAGGGCAGGTGAGCTGGTACTATCCTCTAAAGCCAGGGGCTCCTTTCTCTCTGTCAGTGCAACCGTAGCGTTAATCGTGGTGTTTCTGGCTTGGTTCAAGAAGCAGCTTGGCTAATCTGGTACCATAACTCTTGGTGGCCACCAGGCCCTCAGCTGACTAAAGCCAGTTCGTAGGTGTAGGAGCCAGCTCTGGTCCAGTTACTTCACCAGAGATGTTTGGCTTCCTGGGTTAGGGATTTCTTAGTAGATGAGCTGCCTTTTCTCCACTGAAATTCATACTGCCTAGCCACTTGACTCCTTTCAGAACAGAGATTGGTGGACTTAATTTAAAATTGTATCATCATAAATGTGGTAGGAAGTCGGCTTTTGGGAAATTCTCTGTAACTCCAGGACTTAGGAAGAAAGGCTCACAAAAATAGAGAAAGACTTAACAGAGCACTTTGTTTCTAGTAAAAGTCAGTCCTTCAGGGTCAGTCAGAAGTCATTTTGATTCCCTCTCGAGAAGAGGGGAAGGCTTCCAGCCTTGGGGTAGGATGTGTGCATGTTAGGAGGGAAACGTGCGCAGCTTTATGATACACTGTGGCTGAAAACTGCTTGGGAGAAACTATCCACAGGAAAGAGATCATGCAGAACACTGTGGAGATAGGAGAGGCAGGAGAAGGGAGGATCATGGGTTTTATTTATGTTTTTTTGAAGAATAAAATGAGGTAAGGAAAGGGGAGGATTTTAATCAAAGGCCGTTGAGGTTTGAGGTGCAGGGGTGTATCCAGAAAGCAGTTGTGATTCCATGTGACACTTGAATTATTTACCTTCTCTTCCCCGCTCTCTTCCTCTCAGGTGAAAAAAGAGCCAATAATCTCTGATTTGTTCAACATAACCTGTTCTGGTATTAGCCACCACACAAGAAGTACTATGGTGTTTTTCTCTCTTAGGTCTTGGCCATGAGACCCTGGATTCAGGGGAGCGCAGCTAGGGAAGAGGACGAGCATCCTTATGAGCTGTTGTTAACAGCAGAAACAAAGAAGCTGGTGTCAGTGGACAGAAAAACAAAAGGTACATCCACCCTACCCCCGCCTCCTGGCAGAAATAACTCCAAAAGGATTTTTAAAGTTGGTGATCCTAAGTGGAAGGAGATGGCGATGTTCCTTGGGATGGGAAAGTTGGGTTTCATGGCAGTCTAAGGTGGTGGATGTATTATGACCTTTCATTTTCAATACCCTGGGTTGGAGTTGGCTTGCCACCTTTTAGCATATGGAGCAAGGATAAGGTTAGGTCAGCCTAGGAGAGACCCGTGGCAGGAGAGACTGCCAACATTGTGGCAGAGATTGACTTGGGGGTCTCAAATCATAAACTCTCAAGTTAACGCAGTGGAAAAACAAGCCCAGTGAGCAGTCCCTTTGGGTTCAGGCTGACGGCACAGACTCTGCTTTGAGTCCTGACCTCAGAGTGAGACACTCCTGGGGAGGGGCCCGTGATTGGCTGCCACCCGGTAACTAGAGTGCTCTGTCGCCTTGGCCTACTTTCATTGCCTCTGCAAAATTCAGTTTCCTCCATAAGGGAGTGAGTGCTGCAGGACTGAGATCCAGCCTGGCCGATGTAAACGCAGTCGCGACAGAGGTGAGTGTGCACTGCTGGAGAATTTGTGACAACCACTGTCTCAGGAAGAACAGGAAGGGGCAGTGTGATTCCCACTGCAGTTTGAAGGAACTCCTGTGACCTCCCCCACCTCTCTATAGTTTGTAGGTACTAGGTCCTTCATGGGGTATTATTAAATGCCTCCTTTCAATCCTAAGACCATGCATGGTTCAGGTAAGAATGGGGGATTCGATGGTTTCTTTTAAACCATCAGAGGGTAGGGATGGCAAAGAGAATGTGTGCATATGTGTATGACATTGTAGATCTTCTTTTTAATGGTCCTGTTTAAAAGGTTTCTCTTCCAGCATGCAGAAATTTCGTGGTTGGTTTCATAGTAGTTGTTCTGTTTTGTTTTTTATAGTTTCCATTTGGAGCTCTAAAAAAAAGTTATTTAGATACAGTAAAATTCATCCTTTTTGTGTACAATTCTGTGAGTTTTGAGAAATACAGTTGTATATAACTGCCACTATAATCAAGATACAGAACAGTTTCGTCACACCAAAAAATTCTCCTGCATCCCTTTGTAGTCAGTCCTGCACCCCTCCCTTACCCCTGGAAACCCCTGCTCTTGTGTCTGTCCCAATAATTTTGACTTTTCCAGAGTGTCATATAAATGGAATCACACAGTATGTACCCTTGGGAGTCTGGCCACTTTCACTTCGCATAATTCACTTGAGCTTCATCCATGTTGTTGCATATATCAATAATTTGTTCCTTTTCATTGCTGACTAGTATTCCATTGTATGTGAAGTACATACATACTATGTGTATACCACAGTTCATCCATTCTCTAGTTGAGGGACATTTGGGTCATTTATAGTTTTTGCCAATTACAAATAAAGCTACTGTAAATACTGCATACAGGTTTTTGTGTGAACATAGGTTTCATTACTCTTGAGTAAACACTAGGAATGGGAATTGCTGGGTCCTAGCTAAACACCTGCTTAACTTTAAAGGAAACTGCCAAACCACGTTCTCAGGATAGGTATACCATTTTGCATTCCCATCAGAGTTACAGTTGCTGTATATTCTCCCCAGCACTTAATATTGTCAAGTTTTAAAATTTTTAGTCATTCTAATAAGCGTGTAGTGAGATTTCATTGTGGATTTAATTTGCATTTCCCTAATGACTAATGATGTTGGACATCCATTAATGTGATTATTTGCCATCTTTATATCTAATAAAGTATCTGTTCAAATTTTGTGCTCATTTTAAAAGATTGGATTGTTTCCTTACTATTGAGTTGTGAGAGTTCTTCATATATTTTGGACACAAGTTTTTTTATCTGATAGATGATTTTCTTCTAGTCTGTGATTCATCTTTTTATTCCCTTAACAGTGTCTTTTGAAGAGCAGAGGTTCTTAATTGTGATGAAGTTCTATTTATTCTCTTTTTTTTTAATGGATAAGGTCACAAATATTTTTTCTGATGTTTTATTGTAGAAATTTTATAGCTTTAGGTATACATTTAGGTCTGTGATCCATTTTAAGTTAATCTTCGTATATGGTGTGAGGTATGAGTGGAGGTGCATTTTTTTGCATATGAATGTCCAATTGTTTCAGCATGATTTGTTGAAAATGCTATCCTTTCTTCATGCAATTGCCTTTGCCACTTTGTTATTCTTCTTTTCAGAATTTTTCTAGATATTCTAGTTCTTTCATCTTTTCATACAAAAATTTAGGATCAGCTTGTTGATTTGCACAAAAAGTCCTGCTGGGATTTTTACTGGGATTGTGTCGAATCTGCGTAGCAATTTGGGAAGAAGTGATGTCTTAACTGTATTGAGTCTTCGAATCACATTGGTAGATTTTTAATTAATTAAACTAATTAATTTGCTTCTTTTTTTTTGTTTGAGGAAGATTAGCCCTGAGCTAACTACTGCCTGTCCTCCTCCTTTTGCTGAGGAAGACTGGCCCTGAGCTAACATCCATGCCCATCTTCCTCTACTGTATATGTGGGACGCCTACCAGCATGATGTGCCAAGCGGTGCCATGTCTGCACTCGGGACCTGAACTGGGGAACCCCTGGCCGCCGAGAAGTGGAACGTGCGAACTTAACCGCTGTGCCACCGGGCTGGCCCTGATCCTTAATTGATTTAGAGAGAGTGGAGTAGAGCGCCGATGCCTTCTCTAGTTGTTTAATAATAAATCGTACTGAAATTAACCCTTAAAGAATAAACACTTACTTAATTTAATGCTCTGTTTGAAAGCGGTTCTTAGTGAGGGAAGAATCTTTAGCATCATGGAAGAGGGAGATGCCAGTTCTTTCTCTTTTTCAAAGGCTTGATCTGGAACCACTGCAAGATAACTGGCTCAACCTTTAGAAGGAAGAAAAGGGGAAAGTCAGACAAACTTCGTAAACGAGGCTGGTTTCCTTGGCTGCCGAGTGCCCTTGATAGAGAACTTTCTGTTTTCAGGTCAAGAGATCTCCAGGTTAATGAGGGACCTGCCACAGAGGACTTCAGACCCCACGTCTAGTCCTCCTTTGCTTTGGTTTCTTCCAGCTTGCAATCTTGGGCTGTTAAGAGTGGGCCATGCAGGAAGCAGATTTAATTGAACCACAGCATGTGGGGGTGTGCCTGCCTCCAGGCTAGCTGCTTAGATCACTCAAAGAGCTTTCAGACAAAGGAGTTGAGACGTTCAAGATGAAATGGGCTCTGCCGGTTTCTCAGTAGCCTGGAAGGAATGCCTGCTGGGCCAGCGAAAGTGAGGCCAGTCAGCAGACGGTGCTGTGGGTTAAGACATGTTAAGTCTTTCCTGCTTTTCCACTGATGTCATTATCTTAGGCAGTTTTTATGAATTAATTCATCAGTTTTCAAAAGGCCACGTTAATGAGCCTGCCAGAGCTTTCAGCCCTCCTTGCTATAATTCATGAAACTGCAATGTGAGGGGTGGGATGGGAGATTTTTAAAATTACATTTTAAAATTACCTTTTTATTAGCTCCCTGGAAAACAAATTCAGTCAATACATAAGTGAATACAAATAAAATGCTCAGGTCCTTCTCATCTCTCCGCTGCTCACACTTGCCAGAGGTGACCACAGTTGAAAGTGTAGTGTACGCTTCAGGCCATTTGCTATTATTATACAAAAGTGACTGTGTAAGATTGTTTTGTTTGAATTTAACCTAAAATGTTTGCATTTAACCTAAAATCCTATTTTACAAACGATTTTGCAAGCTTTTTTATTTACCTTGTTTATAAAATATAGATACAATTTGGTCTTAGTTCTTACATAAAGTTCTTACTTTATTCTTTTTCAGTGGTTGTTAAATATCCCGTGACTCATTTTTCTGTTCTCCAATTGATAGATGTTTAAGTGGCCTCCAATATTTCTCTGTCATAAATTATGCTGCCATGGACATTCCATACACAGATTCTTACATGCTTATAAGAGTATTTCTTAAAAGACATTGACAGAAAGTAGGATTAGCCAGTCAGAGTGTAGGTGCGGATCTGGATCTAATTGGTGGAGCTAAATTGCCCTCTCTTAGTGGTGAAAAAGCCCTCTCTTTTCTCCATACCTTCACCAACACAGAGTATTATTGCTCTTTAATGTTTTTCACCATGATAAGTAAAAAAGTGTCTTTTGAAATTGGCATTTGCCTGATCTAGTGAATTTGAGCATCTTATCTTATTGATTAGTGTTATATATTTAGTCTATGAGTTGCCTATCTTTTTTTTTTTCTATTTAGAAATTGATTGTAGTGGAAACAGTTCATATAAATACCGATTTGGCCAAAGTGATGCTCAGAGGAAAGTTCATATCCTTAAATTCATTTGTTAAGAAACAAGGAAGACTAAAACTTAACCCAAAGAAAGTAGCAGAGGGCCAGCTCGGTGGTGCAGTGGTTAAGTTCACACATTCTGCTTCGGCGGCCTGGGGTTCGCTGGTTCGGATCCTGGGTGTGGACCTATGCACTGCCTGTCGAGCCATGCTGTGGCAGGTGTCCCACATATATAGGAGAAGAAGAGGGGCATGGATGTTAGCTCAGGGCCAGTCTTCCTCAGCAAAAAAAGAGGAGGATTGGCAGCAGATGTTAGCTCAGTGCTAATCTTCCTCAAAAAAAAAGAAAGTAAGTAGCAGAGAGGAATTAATAAAGATAAAAGCAGATAGTATACTTCGCATACTTTATGTATGCATGTTACACCTCAATTAAAGAAAAAATAAAAGCGGAAATAATGAAGTAAAAAAACCCCCAGAAAAGCAGTAGACTTGATCATTACAATGAAAACTTGTTTGTTCTTATGAATATATCAGACAATTCTGATCAAGAAAAGGAAAAAAACCCACAACATGTAGGAATAATATAAAGAATATATATAAGGACAAATTCAGAGAATTTTTAAAATCTCTCTGATTTTAAAATTAAGATTATTTTAAAATCTTAAATAATAAGAGAATTTATAGGAATACATTT